AGGGGAACTACAAACCACTACTCAAGGAAATCAGAGAGGACACAAACAAATGGAAAAACATTCCATGCACATGCATAGGAAGAATCAATATCATGAAAATGGCAATGTTTCCCAAAGTAGTTTATATGTTTAATGCTATTCCCAATAAACTACCATTAACATTCTTCACATAATTAGAAAAAAAAAACTATTTTAAATTTTATATGGGAAAAAAAAAAATCCCCTGTAGCCAACACAATCCTAAGCAAAAAGAAGAAAGCTGGAGGCATCATGCTGCCTGACTTCAAACTACAGTAACCAAAACAATACAAGCCTACAGTAACCTAAACAGCATGGAACTGGTACAAAAACAGACATATAGACAAATGGAACAGAATAGAGAACTCAGAAATAAGACTGTACACCTGCAACCACCTGATATTTGACAAACCTGACAAAAACAAGTAATGGGGAAAGGATTCCCCATTTAATAGGGAATCTGGTGCTGGGAGAACTAGCTATCCATATGCAGAAAATTGAAACTGGACCCCTCCCTTACACCTTATACAAAAATTAACTCAAGATAGGTTAAATACTTAAATGTAAAACACAAAACTATAAGACCCTAGAAGAAAATCTAGGCAATAACTTTCAGGCTATAGGCATGGGCAAAGATTTCATAATGAAAACATCAAAAGCAATTGCAACAAAAGCAATGGGATCTAATTAAACTAAACAGCTTCTGCATAGCAAAAGAAACTATCGTCACAAAAGAAACTAACAGACCACCCACAGAATGGGAGAAAATTTTTGCAATCTATCTACAGGTATTGATCGACTTACGACTTATGCAACTTACGACCATTCGGCTTTATGACCACAATCGCTAGCCACGACTGCTCCGCATCTGGCAGCGCAAACGTTACCCAGCTGGGCGTACGACAGTGCGGACCAGCTTCCGGCAGCACTACCAATTACCCGTGCACCATTTCAACTGTTATCCCAGACTCAGTACAGCAATTTGTGTTTTGTGTCTTGGATATTTTTCATCAAACCCCTCCCAAGATGTCTACCAAGAGGAAATTGTCTTTGCCTACGCCTCAGCCTGCCAAGAAGGAAAGAAAGGCCATTGATCTCGGCACGAAAATGAAGGTAATTAAGCAGTACGAAGGAGGAAAGAAAGTGAATGTGATCACATGTGATACGAAGTTATCCCACTCGACTGTGTCGACAATTTTGAAAGATGAAAGAATTCGTGAAGCTGTGAAAGGTTCTGCACCCATGCGATCAACAGTTATAACAAAGCAACGAAGCGGGCCCATCCACGAAATGGAGAAATTGCTATATATTTGGATGGAACATCAAAGTCAAAAACAGACACCATTAAGTCTTTTTACTGTGCAGATGAAGGCGAGAAGTCTATTTTAGACTCTGAAGGAGCATGCTGGAGAAGATTACAGTCAAGAATTTGTAACAAGCACTGGCTGGTTCCAGAGATTCAAGAAAAGATTCCAAATGCATAGTGTTCGAGCGACTGGAGAAGCAACGAGTGCGGATGAGGAAGGAGCACATAAGTTTGTTGATAGTCTGGATGAATTAATTACAGATGAGGGATATCTAGCAGAACAGATTTTCAATGTTGATGAAACTGGATTATTTTGGAAGTGGATGCGAGCACGCACTTATATTCACAAAGAGGCCAAAAGTATGCTGGGATTTAAAGCAATTAAGGATAGGCTAACTCTGCTGCTTGATGGGAACATCGCAGGGTTTAAGCTGAAGCCGCTCTTAATTTATCACTCAGACAACCCGCGTGCGTTCAAGAATGTTAACAAGCACACACTGCCCGTCTACTTCCGTTCTCAACTTAAAGCATGGATGACACAAGGATTGTTTGAAGACTGGTTTATGAACTGTTTTATTCCTCAAGTTTGAGAATATTGTTTGGAGAAAGATATTCCTTTCAAGATTTTATTGCTACTCGATAATGGGCCTGGACACCTACCACATCTAGGCGATCTCCGTCCAGATGTAAAATTTGTTTTTCTTCCGCCAAACACGACTCCACTCATCCAGCCTATGGACCAAGGTTTGATTGCTACCTTAAAGGCCAACTGTCTCCGAACCACCTTCGCTCAAGCAATATCCACTATAGATGCTGACTCAGAACTAACATTGCAAGATTTTTGGAAACACTACAACATTTTGATGTGTATCAAGAATATCGCTACCACCTGGAAGGCTGTGATGACAAAGTGCATGAATGACATCTGGAAAAATTGTGTTAAGTGCTATGTTAATGATTTTGACAGATTTGACAGTGAACGTGAACTTGAAACGATTTAGGTAAAAATAGTAAAACTCGCTAAAGATCTTTCTTTGGAGTGTGAAATGGAAGATGTTGAAGAGTTGCTAAACAAAGAATCTGGAGAACTTACAAATGAAGAGCTAATCGAACTGGAAGAAGAAAGAGTGGTGGAAGAAGAAAGAAGAGAAGCAGAGAAAGAAGAGGAGGAGCCAGAAAGAAAGTTCACCACTAAGGGATTATCAGACGGTTTATCTTTACTGAATAAACTTCTTATACATTTCAAAGCAATGGACCCAAACATCGAACGATTTGCAAGTATTGAACGGATGGCGCACAATGTGTTTAATAAGTATCATGAAATTCATGAAGAAAAAAAGAAACATACAATTCAGACAAAGCTCACCACGTTATGAAGAAACCAACTCCGGTAACCCCAACTGCTGCCTCAGATGACGACATCAACAATCCGCAGCCAAGCACCAGCGGCCAATAAAATGTTTCGTACATGTTTATATATTTTGATATGTTTTGCAATTGGGAAAATGTTTCCTATGGTATTTTTTACACCTGTCTTTTGTATTTTTGTATGCACCCGTATTTTGTATTTTTGTATGTTTTGCAAACATTAAACCAGTTGTACTGGTAATGCAGTGTTTTACTTAAACCTGACGAATGTAAAAATAAGAAACAAAATGGTGTTGAGATGATACAAATGGCATAAAATGAACAAAGAAAATTATGATATATAACAATAATGAAAGAAAATTATGACAAAATATGACTTAAAAATTTTTATAACATCATTTCACAGTACTGTACATATAGCCTACTCAACTTATGACCAAATCATGTTACAACTGGTCTGTCGGAATCAATCGTGGTCATAAGTCGAGCACTAGCTATATCTGACTAATGTCTAATATTAAGAATCTATAAAGGACTTAACAAATTTACAAAAAAACACAAACAGCCCCATTAAAAAATGGGCAAAGGACATGAACAGACACTTCTCAAAAGAAGACATACATATGCCCAACAACTATATGAAAAAAAGCTCAGCATCACAGATCATCAGAGAAATGCAAATCAAAACCACAATGGCATACCATTTCACACCAGTCAGAATGGCAATTATTAAAAAGTCAAGAAACAACAGATGCTGGCAAAGTTGTGGAGAAATAGGAATGCTTTTACACTGTTGGTGGGAATGTAAGTTAGTTCAACCATTGTGGAAAACAGTGTGGCAATTCCTCAAAGATTTAGAACTCAAAATACCATTTGACCCAGCAGTCCCATTGCTGGGCATAAACGGAAAGGAATATAAATCATGCTATTATAAATATACATGTATACATACATATTCATTGCAGCACTATTCCCAATAGCAAAGACATGGAATGAACCCAAATTCCCATCAATGATAAACTGGATTTTTAAAATGTGGTACGTATACACCATGGAATACTATGCAGGCATAAAAAGGAATGAGAGCATGTCCTTTGCGGGGTCACAGATGGAACTGGAAGCCATTATCCTCAGCTAACTAATGCAGGAACAGAAAAACAAACATCACATGTTCTCACTTATAAGTGGGAGCTAGACAATGAGAACATATGGACACAGGGAGGGGAACAACACACACTGGGGCCTGTCAGGGAGGCAGAGGGAAGGAAAGCATCAGGAAAAACAGCTAATGCATGCTGGACTTAATACTAGGTGATGGGTTGACAGGTGCAGCAAATAACCATGGCACACATTTACCTGTATAACAAACCTGCACATCCTGTACATGTACCCGGAAACTTAAAATAGACAAAAATACAAAATCAAAAAAGTAAAAAAAAGTAAAACCTTACCCTTTTAAAATAAGGCTAGAACAGTAAAATTATTTTCTCCAGTAATATTTCATTTCTGTAACAATAAACCATAGGGTTTCCTCTATCTTTAAATAATTTTCTTCTAAAACAGGGGTCAACAAACTAATCTAGTCGGCCACCTGTTTCTGTAAATAAAGTTTTATTGGCACACAGCATGCCCCCCTCCAAAAATCTGAACATATTATTTTAAAAGAGAAAGAATTTTTAATAAAAAAATTTGGACCATTAATGCCTTTCTATATGCAGTATAATTCTGCTAAAAAGAATAAAAGTAGTGCTGGAATATAGTTAGTTATAGAACCACAAGGAAATAAAATCATGTATTTCTTATATACTCTATAACTAGAGGTTACATTGAGTTAGATTCTACACAACTTTAAATTATGTCTTTAATTTTTTAGCTTTTATGGATTTAGGGGTACAAGTGCAGTTGTATTACATGGATATATGTGCAATGGTGGGCTTTAGTGCACCACCACCCGAATAGTGCACAGTATACCCAGCAGGTAGCATTTCATCCCTCAACCCTCCTTCCATAGTCCCACATTCTGGGGTCTTCAATGTCTATTATTCCACACTGTATGTCCACGTCACCCAAGAAAAACAGATTTTGGCTATTAACAGAAATCTATAGAATTTTTATCACGTTCCTTTTTTCTTGTTTTAGATAGATCTCTTAATTGTTGTGATTATTTGCTACATTTTTAAATAAAAAGTATACTTGAGCCAAATGTTATGATTTTATTACCCTATTACCAAATCACATTACTTCAAGTGTTTGTCAAGATCTTCAAGCAAAAGAACAATGTAAATATTTAAATAAATAAGTTGCATACCTCTATGCTTTTAATCCGATTCTCAGTGATATCTGAAACTCCAGTATGAACCAAAGTTGTTTTAATTTCTTTTTCCAGAGCTTGTATCTCATCCCACTTATTTAGTATTTCACGCCTCTTCTTTTCAACCTTCTCAATAAGAGTAAGTTGGTTCTCATCAATTATATGTTTCTTAGATGATTCTGGAAATATTTTTAAAACAAAATATTACTATCATAATATCTCAGTTATTAATAGCATTTATGTATTATTAACAATATTATCTATACTATGGTATATATAACCATAAAATGTCATATAATTCAAACTTGAAGCGTGTCAATAAAAACAATCTGACCTAAGAATGAGGGTATTCCTCCTTTAACTCATTCAGCTAATCAATAAGTATTTGTTGAACACATGCACTGAACTAGGCAGAAAGGTACAATGATGAATTAGTCTTTTCCAGAGTGTGTGATTAACAGTGTAAACCAACAAGAAACCACAAGAAAGTGACGATATGGTGGCAGAGTAGAAGGTGCAATGGTATGACAAAGCAAGGACATTGGAGACAGCATGAGGAAGGCTCAAGGATGACTTTGACAGAGAAGTGGCAATGGCGGAAACTCCTGATAAGACCATCAGATCTTGTGAGATTTTTCAGTACTACCAGAACAGTATGGGGGAAACAGCCCTCAGGATTCAATTATCTCCTAGTGGGTCCCTCCCACAACACCTGAGAATTATGGGAGCTACAATTAAAGATGAGATTTGGGTGGGGACACAGAGCCAAACCATATCAGGATAGCAGTCCCCGCATGAAGAGAAGTGAGAAAATCCAAAAACTATTTAGTAAATAAAAAAGAAAAAATAGACCTTAGTAATTAACTAGATGTGGCAATGTAGAGAAGAAGGCAATGTCAAAAATAAGCCATAGGTTTTCGCTTAGTTGTAGCTAGAAAGAAAACAATGAGTTCAATGAAGCATGGAGGTAAGAAAGAACTTGTTTCAATCCCAACTTGGCCACTTATTCCAAGCTGTGTAGGGAGAGGTTGAGGCGTAGGACAATGAAAGTTGCCTAGCACATGTTTTATGACTCGCATATTTATGTATTTGGAGATACCATCACTGAAATAGCCAGAGAGATGCCAAGTTAGAGAAGGAGACAATTAGTTTAATCTCGGACATGTTGAGATACCTATGAAATACACAAGAGACCATGTCTAGTAGGTACTTGGATATACAGATCTCAAACAACAACAACAACAACAAAATAGAAGAAGGATTTTTAGCAGAAAAAATAGATTTGGAATTTTAAAAAATGCCAAATCTTCCAAAGAGATGCTGGACTCCAAAGAATATCAACATTTAAAGAAGACAGAAAGGAAATGGTGTCATCAAGTGATCCACCGCCACGGCCAATTTGTCATCAATCAGCACAGTTATATGCTGATTGGAGTGGTGAGACTTAATTTTTTTGAGAAAAAGCAATTACTACTTTTTGATGGGCACGAAGCAGTCAGAAATATTGATAACCCTTACTTGTAGACAGGAAACAAGATGGAGGTCACTGCTGTCATTCAACTTTGCCAAATTTGGGAGAAGGAAAAACTTTGATATTAAATTTGGAAATTTGGGGGAATTAGTTAAGTAGACACATGATGAGCTAGCTAAGGGGATAGAAATGGTCATAGTTAAGCTTCTACACAAACTGAGAGAAACTACAACATAGAGTGTTTGGTCCCCACCTTAATCTAAACTGAAGGTTTCAGCTTAAAACCATCAGCTGAGGTCAAAGAGGCCAAAAGCAGTGTCAAACCAGGCGAGTGACCTCCACACTCACCCTTTTTCTAAAAGCCTTCAAGAAATAGGTATGAAAATGGGGACATTCCACAGCAAATGTGTATGATTAGAAGAGCAGGCTTCTGAGACAGAAGGCTTTGAGAAAAGATAAAACAGGAAGAACCAGGGTCATCAGGTTTGTTCCACTGCAGTCAGAATGATGGGAATAGTGGGCTAGGATCAAACGTGCAGAAAGGTTACTAGAGTTCTAGAAAGTTAGTCACTGCATCTTATTTTTATTCATTGTTGCCATTTTTCTTATTAGTGGCTAGCAGTAAAGCCCTTAAGTTTCTGCTTTTTTTGTTTTTTTGTTTGATTTTTAAATTGTGGGCCTGTTTTAAGAGAAAGCAAGAAAACAGAAACCAAGCGTGGGTCCTATTCCATGGCCTGCCTGTGAGAGGGACCCTACAAAAAACGAACGACATGGTGGAAGAAGGTGGAAAACAGGAGACCTTTGAGCCCTGAGAAAGGGAGGATGGAAGGAGAAGCAGAGTCAGCCTGGAACAGAGAGCGGACGTGGCAAGAGGATGCAAATCAGGCCACAGGAAACCTGTCCGAGGACATCAGCACGGTTAACACCATCCGTGCTGCTGATAGGTAGAAAAGAGGAAACAGGCGGAAGCAGGAAAAGGTAGTAAAAGCATCCTCGCAAGGACCTTTGAAGCCAAGCTCTACTAAGAACTTAAAACAGACTGGGCCTGTGAGCATATCCTACAAGACACTGAGAAAAAATATCTAAAAACAGAGTATGAGGGAGTGTTTAACAAACTCAGAGGGAAAATGGCATTTCACTTCACAGTTGGAAAATAGTGGAGGTTAATAAGCAAGATAATTAAACTTACTTTTATCATTTAATTGCATTCCAATTGTATACATTTAAAGTAATTTTAATATCCATTTCATACATAAATATTCATAAAACATAATTAATTCCCCATGAAATGCATATTCTTTCTCACAATAATAAAAAGATGTATAACAAACAGGCAGTGACCACCCCATGCCAGGCCCAGTGCTCTTGGGTGATGTGGGTGAACACGTTGAATTATCGCCACAAAACTCAGAAGGAGCTCCAGAATGGCTCAGTTGACAGACAGGCAGCCAAGGCTGCAGCAGCTGAAGTAATGAAGGTCACAGCAAAACACCCATGAGCAGGACATCACAGACACTCGCCTGATCGTTTCTTTGCAGACTGCAGCAACGCCCGCTCTATCGTCAGTTCACTCCTGAGTCTATAATGTGATGATAAAAAATAGGGAAATATTAGGTCCCCTTTAATCTTTTTTCTTTTGTCTATGTTACACCTCAAGTCTTTTATAGCTGAGAAATTAAAATAAATCTGCTTACGTTCTAACACAACAGGTACTCTGAAGATATTTATTAAATGACAGCCTAAATCAGTCAAGTTAAACAAACAAAATACTACTTTCTTACCAAGATTGCATAAGCCATTAAAGAGTTAGTTAATTTAAAGTAAATGATTTCCTGTAGAGTTTATTTGTATTTTTTGTTCATGGAATTGCTAAGAAGGAAGAAGGCAAAAAACAAACAAACAAAAAGCAAACCTAGCTTTTTACACTGAAAGGCAAACAACATGTCAAGGGCTATGGAAAGAGCTCTCTGATGCTGGAATACACTGCATCTTTGCTGTGTATTATCATTCTGGGCAACAGATACAATTTACAGATTTCACAATGTTTGAATTAAATCAACTATCTTATGTTTTATAGATTTAAGGAGAAGACAAAAAGGAGTCTAATAGGTATTACATCTATTGAGGACAATACTGTGATTTGATTTAAGACATCAACATGCAAATAAGTTAATGCCAAATATCTACAAAGGGCCTAACAGTTTAAGGTTTTTACACATATTAGTTCACTTCATCAAAGATTAAGAGAGAAATATGGTGGTATTATGATCCTCAATTTTAAGGAACTGGAGCCAGGCATGGTGACTCATGCCTGTAATCCCAGCATTTTGAAGGGCCAAGGCAGGTGGATCCTTTGAGCCCAGGAGATGGAGACCAGCTTGGGCAACCTGGTGAAACCCTATCTCTAAAAAAATACAAAAATTAGTCAAATATGCTGCCTGTGGTCCCAGCTAGTTGGGAGACTGAAGTGGAAGGATCCCTTGAGACTGAGAGGTTGCAGCGGCAGTGAGCCATGGTCATGCCAGGACACTCCAGCCTGGGCAACAGAGCAAGACGCTGTCTCAAAGAAAAAAAAATTAATAAACTGAGAATTCGATGGATTAACAATAATGATAAAAGACTTTTCAATATGTATATTTAAAAAGTTTTGTTTCCAGAAAATTTTTACCCATTGTAGTTTTAAATATTACTTATGTTTTTGTTCTATTGCTTTGTTTTTCTTCTTTGGGGACTTTAATTACATGTGAATTGGACATTATTTGCTTATCTTCTATTTCATCTACTTTCTCTGACTCTTTTTATTTCTTTATCTTATTTACAGCCTTTTAAATATTTTCCCACTTTTTCTCAATGCTCCTTATTATAATTTCATTCAAAACTATTCTTCCTTGGGCACTTCAGAATTTAGTCTTGACCTATGATATAATTTTTACTTTTTCAAATATTTTTCCTCAATTGTTATCTTGTTTTATTTCTTCTTTTTTGTTGCTGATTCCTCTGCTTAGTTTTTAAATTTATGACTCAAGATTGTTTTCATATCCTTAAATACTCTTTTGGGAACATCTAATTTAGCTTGGAGTGTTGTGCTACAGGTTTCTTCTTCAACTTTATTATTATTATTCCTTGGCACGGCAGGGACTTTCATCAGGTAAATCATTTGGATTCTCATTTTCTGTTCTATTCTTAGAGTAGTTTGTATAGGCAAAGATTGTTTGCATCTCTGCATTTTCCCAGTCTGGACTAGTGACTGGGAGGAGCATGTGAGATTGCTAATTCAAATGGATACTTTTCCATCAGTGTAGCAAATTATGCTATTTTATCATTGATTTGTTGTTTTTTGGTGTTCTTTTGATTTGTTTCAATAGTCCTGGGTAGCTTTCTTGTTTAGAAGGGAGAAGGGCCGTGTGTGGAAGGGCTGTGTGCACCTCGATTTTTCTCTTTTTACAGGATTCTCATTTTCCTTTCTTGCTCCCTTTTGCCTTCATTGCACATTTCTAAAGGATGCCTCTACGTTTCCTTTAACTCCTTTCTCACCTGTGTCATTACTATTTCAAAGGTGTTTTCTCACTTCCACACTGTTCCAGGTAACCCCACCCCACCCCGCCCCACCCCAGCCGTCATGGTCAGTGCTGCCGTCAGCCCCGCAGGACAGCTGTGTGGCTGCCTCGCTTACACGGATTCTCTCTCTGGAAGTGGTTTTAGAGCAGTTTTAGGCCTCCTTCTAGCTCCACTGTTCTCTCTTTCATGAACTTTTCCCAAAACCTCAGTGCTCTCACGAACAAAGCTTTGCAGCAGGGACATGGAAAACTGGTTCACTGCCACTGAATGTTTTCTTTTCTATTTTCAGTCATTTTTAAACTTTGGATGCATTTGCAATGAATTCCTTTTTTATTTTTTGCCTTGGCATTCACTTTGAATAGAAGTTTAATTTTCTCACTCCAGAAGCAGGGCTCAGTCACCCTTGCTTGACACAGTTTCTAGGCCTTCTCCTTCCCCCAGTGCCTCAAAATGGTCAGCCCAGATATCTGCCATAAACAACCACCTCCCAGTGACCACCCGCTATGAGCCATCCAAATACAACCTACTTTCCTCAACCCACTGACCCCCCACCCCACACCCTGCGCGGGCCATGAGCATGTGCTGCAGTGACCCAGCAACCACTTCCAGCCACAGCGCGACCCCACAGCACCTGTGCCTTCTTGCCCTAAACCCACTGTCAGAACTCCCCGTGGAAAAGCCGCTCGGGTCATGCTCTGGACCCGAACAAAGGCCTTGGTCCATCGGTTCACACTCTGTCTTGCTCCCCTACCTGCCGGTGGAGCCAGCATGTTTCAGGCGGTTTCCCCTTCCTACCACCCCTGCGACGTATGCTGCCCCCTTTTCTCTGGGATCTGTAAGTAACAAATCGCCATTTCATGTGCTTTGTTCTGTGGCCTCCTCTGTCCCTCACCTGACAGGGACACATGAACCTCACCTTTTCCAGCTAGGGCTCTCCCAGAGTCTGGCTTTCTTTGTAGGAATAAACTAGACACACACCAGACAACGGCCATAAGGGCTTCTGCCGATGTAGTCGGGTTTCTTGTGAGAGAGACATCTGGTCACAGGTTGGACGCTTAGGCATTAAGCCTGAGGGCCAGATGAAAACACATCCCATGAAGGGCATCCTCCACCAGCCCCCCGAAGCCCTGTCAGAGCAGGACTAGAGTTCATAGCCACCCTTGTGATGGAGACCTCAAGACCAAATTGGAGGGCAGGTGCGGTAGTTCATGCCTGTAATCCCAGCACTTTGTGAGGCTGAGATGAGTGGATCACTTGAGGTCAGAAGTTCAAGAGCAGCCTGACCAACATGTTGAAACCCCATCTGCACTAAAAATACAAAAATTAGCTGGCCATGGTGGCACACACCTGTAATCCCAGGTATTCGGAGTGCTGAGGCCGGTGATTCATTTGAACCTGGGAGATGGAGGTTGCAAAGAATTAGATCACCCCCCTGCACTCCAGCCTGGGTGACAGAGCAAGGCTTCATCTCAAAAAAAAAAAAAAAAAAAAGACCAAACCAGAGCAAAATACAAAGCTCTCTGTCTTCTAGTTACACTGATGGCAAATTTTGTTTTTTGGTTTTGTTTCTTGTTTTGCTCTCTTGAAGATATTTTAGATGTTGCAGGTTTCCTTTAATCTTATTTTAAAAATCATACAAACAGTATGCCCTATCCAATTGTGATTTGATCCTGGAAAAAAATACAGGGAGGTTATATCAGAAGAGCTTTTAAGTTAAAAGCCAATAAGACCATTCAAAGGTATCTTAGATCTGTAGCCCTCTCCCCTATTGGTAAGTCTTCAGGGGACCACCGAAAAAAGACAGGAAATTCCTTCAGAAGCTTCCCCAAGCTCTCCCCATGGAAATACCACACTTAGCAGAATATCCTAGTCACATATATGATGGCCTGTGCAAGTGGCCAGACCAGGAAACAATGTAACGGTAGGCTTGCCACATCGCTTTAAGATCTTATTACAGAATAATCTAAACATAGATCAGATCTGCCACTCACGCCTCACCTGTCGTTGCGCTCCAGGGCTGCTTTTATGGCTCTCACGAGCATCCTCAGCTCCTCCCTGGCGAGATCCACGTCTGCCGTCTTCACTGACCTCTGCTCCAGCCCCTCGAGTTGAGCCAGAAGAGCCTAGGCAGGACCAGGCACATGAGGTGAGACAAGCACACGTGGAGGAGGGGAAGACTCCCTTTTTTATTTGTCATTAATGCATTTTCAGGGTGCCCTGGGTTAACATATACATTCTAGTTAAAATAGGTAAGCCGGGAGGATTGAAGGGAGGGATGGCCGTTGGGGGACAGATGGCCACTTGGTGACGTTCCCAGTAAAATACGTTTATCAGTATGTTAAGAGTTAATTTTTCTAAGAAATGGAAAGATGGTAGTGAACTCCCCTGTTGACATGTGGGGGGAAGGACACTCTGGGTGAAGTCCTGGAGGCACTTTGTCAGTGGCACCACAATCGTTTCTTCTACAGGAATAAGAAGCCAAATCAATGTGATTGCCATCCACAGATGTAAAGCAGTGCCGTGCTCAAATGGGAAGCCGCAGAGATCTCAGCCTCATCAGAGGATGGGCCGCTAGGGTCACAGACACAGAAGGATGGATCCAGGGCCCTGCTGGCCTGGGAATTTCTTCATGCTCACGATTGACCGAGATAGGGACGTATGTCGCTTTCTCACTCAACCTCACAACCTAAGGAGCAAGGTAGATTCCCCACTGGAAACTTCGCTTACATTCTTGTAAAGACAAAGGCTGCTTCTGTGTTATGGAAAGGCTCGGCACAAAGAAAATGGTGCTCACGTCCGATTTTAGGTGAAGGAGCGAACCAGAACTCATCTCCTCGTAATGCTGTGATTTTTTTTTCATATACAAAAGAAGCAACTGCCTTTCCTAATTTATGAAGTAAAATTAATCGTTGAAATTTATTGAATTCAAAATGCCAAAGTTATCTTTGCTACAGTGTTCGATTTTCTTACGTTTTATAAGTGATAAAGTTATCCCTGCAGTATATTTTCTTATTCGACCAATCACGTTTAACTCAGCCCTTGAGAGAACACCTGGAACGCTGTCACCCAGGTGATTAAAAGAAGAGATCATGGGGTTTTGAGCCAGCTTACAGCACACTAGCCATCACAATGCGTTCTCAGTGTTTTCGCCAGGGTGAGGACTGAACAAAGGTTTTTGGTACTTACTGGCAGAGAACCATTTATATTCCCAATTTATACATGTATAGTTATGTCACTTGTTTGGGAGTATAAAGAATGCTATGCCAATCCAAAGTGAAGTTCTTTATGAATAATGTTCTTAAGGCAGTATAAGCTCACTTATAATAAAAAAAAATCAGCTATTCTAAATTATGGGGCACACATGGGGCTTGTGGGGTTCAGGAAGGTTTCCACTGCTCGTGAAATATGAAGCCATGAATAAGCAGGCTCCATTCAGACTCTTCACAATTGATCATCACCTCATACTGTGCGGGGGGCTGGGACTCCAGGAGCGTCGACATGTAGAGTTCGTATTCATCCTGTACCGAAACAAACAAAAAGTCCACTGGCCATGCGTGGGGAGGCCACAGTGCAAGTGTTTCATGTGTATAAATAATACAGAAGTTAAGAATGTTCATTTACATCATTTCAAAAAAATATACAATGTTCCTACAATGCATTAAACGGTATACCTGTTCACATGTATAAAATCACACCATCTTTGAAGCATATTTGAGCATTAAGTATTAATTACCCCAGAATATCATAAAATATTATACAACAAAATATAAAATATTGATCACTTCAGCATGTCATAAAACACCTTGACACACATACAACAAATGATCTCCTGCCATGCAGAAGGTCTGTGGAATCCGGTCCTACCAGCCGCCAGGATGAGCCTCCATGATGAGGCATCACTGGAGAACAGGACACCAGGTCTCCCTTGTTAGGTATTACTTGTCATTAGTAAAATTAAAGAATAGCATAATCTTTAAGCAACATGATCTCAACTCAGATTCTATATGAAGGTCACTTTCTTTTTTTTTTAATTTGCAGCCTCCACTTCCTGGGTTCAAGGGATTCTCCTGCTTCAGCCTCTGAGTAGCTGGGATTACAGGCACGCATCATCATGCCTGGCTAATTTTTGTTGTTTAGTAGAGATGGGGCTTCACCATGTTGGCCAGGCTGATCTTGAACAGCTGACCTCAAGTGATCCACCTGCCTCAACCTCTCAAAGTGCTGGGATTACAGGTGTGAGCCACTGCACCCAAAGGTCACTTTCATCATGAAATTGCAACAAACCTGTAATTCCACAAGGATTTATATAACATTACACATGTAATGTTAAAATAACTAATTATTAATTTATTTGAATTATAATAATTTAAAATAAAAAGTTTGTCACATATATAATTTATAAAAGGTTGTGTATAATCAGGAACCTTCAGTGGGAAAATATGGGCTTAAGAAGTGAGTTAACTGTGTTGATTCCACATGGCCCCTGTACAATTTACGTGCCTGCAGGCAGATGACCTCAAGTCTCTGCAAATGATGGTCCCCATCTGTAGAAGGGGGCCCGTGATAGCTAGCAGAATTTCTGTGAGGCTTGAGATCATTCATGTATATGGAACCTCATGCAAGCTTCTCAACTGTTATGCTGAAGATACGTGTTTCTCACCTTAACTTCTTTCAAGAGATCACCAAATATCAAAGAGCTCTTACAAATATCTTCAAAGACTTTTCCAAAGACATGCAGTCTGTTGAACTGCTGAGGGCTGCACGTGCAAATTTTCTGGAGATCCTGGAGGAAAAACAGAGTCAGCCCATTTTAGAACAGCTTCATTTTTCTTCCAGAACCGAGTTTCTCAGTTGTCAGGGAGGACACAACGGCCAACACCCTGGTGACTGGGCAGGGCAGCACAGGGGGCCATACCTAGGAGTTTTGATCCCTCCCACTGAGCTGAGCTTCTTTGCTTCCCTGGTCACCCAAGATTTGGGATTTTTAAAAACTCTTCTTCTTTATTCACTCTCTTGCTCCCTGTTCTCGGGGTTCAATCTCTGCCTCCCCAGTCCCCCAGGGCCCTTTCTCTCTTCCAACCATGAAGTCTGGCTGCTTCCTGCGGGACCTGCTATTTCCTTCTCCCTTCTGTATCCTCCCTATTTGGAAGTGGACAGCCTCCCATCAGCTGTTCTTCTCTGAGTCAGCAGCTCATCCTCAATCTTCCCCTCACACCAGCACCTTCTGTAGACATATGCTGCCTGGGCATACTTCAGGGCATGACAGTGCCCATCTGTTCTCTGTCTCCCCTCACTGCTCTTCCACGGTCAGGCAGGCAAGCCCTCTCTCAGGCGCCTCGGCTGACCCACGAACATCTGATTTACTGTTGCAGCCACACGGCCTCCAATGTGTCTGCGATGGGCCTCCCCCAGCTTACCAGTTCCCAGACGGCTTCCTCCTCCATTTTACCCAGTCTGTCCCCACTGAAGGTGCTAATGCTTCAGGCACCTGGGGCAGTGCTGCACTATACCTGGACATGGCAGGGAAGCCTCAGAGGATGAGCCTGTCCCTGCACCGAGAGCACTGCACAGACAGCACTGCATGGAGAGCACTGCATGGAGAGCACTGCACCGAGAACACTGCATGGAGAGCACTGCACCAAGAGCACTGCACCGAGAACACTGCACAGAGAGCACTGCATGGAAAGCACTGAACCAAGGGCACTGCACAGAGAGCACTGCATGGAAAGCACTGCACCGAGAGCACTGCACAGACAGCACTGCATGGAGAGCACTGCACCAAGAGCACTGCACTGAGAACACTGCACCAACAGCACTGAACCAAGAGCACTGAACCAAGAGCACTGCACAGAGAATGCTGCACTGAGAACACTGCACTGAGAGCACTGAACCAAGGGCACTGCCCCGAGAGCACTGAACTGAGAGCACTGAACCGAGAGCACTACACTGAGAGCACTGCACCAACAGCACTGCACCAAGAGCACTGCACCGAGAGCACCACAGGGCTGCTCTACTCACCTGCTGCAGCTTTCTCTCATGGCCCTTGGCCACCTTGCTCCCAGTGAAGTCATTTTCCAGGAGATCTTGCTTGGCGAGCACTTCCTTCTGGAAACGCAGGAACATCCTGTAGCTGTCAGCCTTGGTGACCCCAGTCAGGTAGGAGCTGACATAGTGGTGCTGGTCCCTGGTGCCTCTGAGCCCAGCCTCCTGGTATTGCAGCGCCTTCATGTCAGACAGCCAGAGTTCTTCCCTCCTGCGCCATCCAGATGGGCCTCTGTACATCTCCTCCGTCCCTTCTCCAAGAGCCTCCATTGGAAGGAGGTCCTCTTCTGAAGTGTGGGAAAGAGAGGCCTGGGGGTTCAGGTACCTGAACAATGGTGTGTCCTGGGCATCGCTGGGGACCAGCGCTGTGTGTATGGTGAAGCGCGCCAGGGCCTCCTTCATCCTCGCCACCTGTCCTGAAGGTGGCTCTCCCACCCCAGATACATGCTGCTCCCGGGGTCGGTTGGCATTGGGCCAGTGCTGTAAGACCGTCTCGGGAGGCCGGTAGAGCTTGTTGGGGTTCAGATGTCCAGAGATGTACTGGGAGATGTCCTCCTGGTGGTCTTTCTGAAGGCAGTTCAGAAGTTTCTTCAGATTGCACAGGGTCTTCACGCCTGGTGTCTCGCAGTGCTTCCACTTCAGGTAAACTGGTCAGAAAAGAAAAGGCGGCTTTTAGGGATGCTCTTAGTTCACAGTAAGTCAGCAGGTGCACTGGCTGAGAGGCCTAGCCCCTGCCCAAACAGAGGGTCTACAGAGAAACCGATGAACAGAGTACATGGCCCAGTCCTTAAAAGTCAAAGACGGCTGTGGTGGCTCGTGCCTGTAATCCCAGCATTTTGCGAAGCCAAGGCAGTGGATCACCTGAGGTCAAGAGTTCAATATCAACATGGCCAACATGGCGAAACCCCACCTCTACTAAAAACACAAAATAAGCCAGGCGTGGTGGTACATGACTGTAATCCCAGCTCATTGGGAGGCTGAGGCAGGAGAATCAATTGAACCCAGGAGGCGGAGGTTGCGATGAGCTGAGATCGGGCCACTATCCTCCAGCTTGGGTGATAGAGTGAGACTTCGTCTAAAAAAAAAAGTCAAAGACACCCATGCTAGGAGTGATGTGCTGCTGCAGATGAGAGTCGGATAGGCCCCCAGGATGTGCAAGCCAATCAGAAAGCTCAGGGCCCTCAAAGCCAACAAGAGAAAGACAGAATATCTTAATCTGGGAGAGTATTTCTTACAATATTAGCAAAAGCTCTGAAAGAAAAGTGCAAAATCTTAATTATAATTCTTAATGATGATGCTTAAAGACGTCTTCTTTAATGTACTTCACATGCCAGGAATACAGAAAAGTTCTGGGGGGTATTCTGCGTTAATGCTGAAACATCTCAGGAGTCCCTGAATAAACCCCTCAATGACCATTGGGCCACTCATCCCTTCCTGCACCCTCCCCACAGAGCCAACCCCGAGGGCACATTGGACCACAGCTGCTTCCTCTGCAACATCAGAATCATCAGCTCATACAAAATGGTTGACTGACACTCATATGGACTCACTTTGGGCAAAGGGAACCATGGCCCAGAAGAGATACTCCATAAATTCAACCCATTTTTGCTGCAGGTCTGTAGTGCAGACAGTACTCTCAGCAGCGGGATGCTGGAGAATCACCCATGATGATCGACTTAGTTCTTCAGAGAAACCACTTATGAAATGATTAATAGAACAAATTCTCCAAGACTACAATCGCTGTAATTCATCCAAGGCATGAACACTCCAAGCTCTAAAAGGCATCTTGTACCAACTCCATGGAAGATGGAAGAAGGAGGCAACTACATTGTTGCTGTGTTATCCTTTGTTACTGAACACCTCAGATAGAGCAAGAGCAGCCCAGAATTGCCCCTTCATTTGCTGTTTCCAACCCAAGAAGGAGAGTTTCTTTCTGGGACGCTGTACTGTGATGGCCAAAGGACAGCTGGCCCATCCATACCCTCCTCAGGGAGCCTTGTTCCATTCAGCGCGAAGCAAATCATCCTTCCCTGAGTCAGCCGAGGTGGCCGAATACTAGAGCCAATGCCCTCAGCAGAGGGATGCCAGAGAATCGCCCTGAGGGCCAGGAGCAGGGGCTTACACCTATAATCCCAGCACTTTGGTAGACCGAGGTGGGTGGATCACAAGGTCAAGAGATCGAGACCTCGAGACCATCCTGGCCAACATGATGAAACCCCATCTCTGAAAAAAAAAAAAAAAAGAAGAGAGAATCGGATCGCCCTGTGGATCAACGTAGTCCTTCAGAGCAGTCATGTAGGGAAGGATTTAGTAGAACAAATTCTCCAAGACAACAATTACTGCCATTCATAAAAAGCAATTCATAAATTATTGTAATTCATAAAAAACTAACTCCATGGAAGATGGATGACGGAGGCAACTTCATTGCTGCTGTGTTGTCCTTTATTTTATTTCCAAGAAGGATTTGAAACCACCAGCAAGTCAACCGGTACAATCATTTCCCCACTTTAAATGACTTTTCTTTCTATTGTAATAAGACCTGCTCCAGATTCCACTTCTGTCTGCCACATTCTTATAATATATGCCACGAATCCCCATTGTGGAAATAAATATTTTAATTATTTGCCTATCTGAAAACATTGTTGGGGTGTGTGTGTGTGTGTGTGTGTGGTTGTGTGTATCCTGCCATCTCAACCTGAGAAAGAAAACAAACAAAAAATGGAAGCTTTAAGAATTTATTAGAAAATGTGATTATTTTACAAATGATCTACAAACAAAATTGCTTTAAGTAAAACCAAATCAACTTTTGAATGTGTATTCAATAGGAAGGTGTAGTAATAGGTCTTTAGAATAGTTTGGAATAAATATTGCCAAATGTTAGCATTAAACTTTTTTTTTTTTGAGCTGGAGTCTCGCTCTGTTGCCCAGGCTGGAGTGAAGTGCAGCGGGGCGATCTCTGCTCACTGCAACCTCCACCTCCTGGGTTCAAGCAATTCTCCTGCCTCAGACTCCGCGACCACGCCCGGCTACTTTTTGTATTTTTAGTAGAGACAGGGTTTCACCGTGTTGGCCAAAAGGTCTTTAATTTCAAAATTATTACAAATCAGGCCAGGTGCTGTGACTCACGCCTGTAATCCCAGCACTTTGGGAGGCCGAGGCGGATGGATCACTTGAAGTCAGGAATTTGAGACCAGCCTGGCCAATCTGGCAGAACCTCTTCTCTACTAAAAATACCAAAATCAGCCAGGCATGTTGGTGGGCGCCTGTAACCCCAGCTACTGGGAGGCTCAGGCACCAGAATCGCTTGAACCCGGGAAGTGGAGCTTGCAGTGAGCGAAATAGCACCGCTGCACTTTAGCCTAGAGGACAGAGTGAGACTCCGCCCAAAAAAAAGTTTACAATCACTGTCCCATGTTATCTGATCTGTGGGAAACTAAGAATCCCACAGAAATTCTCCCTGGTCTCATTCTAGAACATTCATATTCCCTCTGTGTTTCTGCCCTCTGCCTCCTCTGCCCCCACCCTAAAGTCAGTGCACATCCTAGGAAGTGTATTCCTGGAAAGCTCTGAGAACAGAGGAGCAGGCCCAGACCCACAGGCCCTCTGCCTGGTGGCCGGTGTGGCCAGAGGAGCCAGGGAGGCTGGAGACAGGCCTGGCCAGTGGGGATCTGCCCTGGAGTCCTGGGCTCCACTCCGAGAATCCTTGCAGAACTCCCAGAGAGCATCCGTCATTCCCTGTGTCCATCCTACCCACTGGAGAATCTTTTCAAACTCCACTGAGATTGCAATCCGGCCTTTCCTGAACCCACAAATAAACATCTGTTGTCTGCCCCACACTGTGATTGAGGTTGGGATGAATGTGAGCCCCCAGGAACCTGGAAATCCCGTAGGGAGTGAGATACAGACCCCGGGCTGGAGGGACCTGAGGCCAGAGGAGAAGCACATGCCTCATGTGGACGCTATCTCAGGATGAAATGTGGAAGCAGAATGATGGGACCCAGAGCTATCCCACCTGATGCCAGACCAGGGCAAGAGGTCTTTACAGGTTTAATTTGGGTCATGGGCCTTAAAATAAAGAGCTGAGTCTGGATGGTCAAGGTTCTAATCTAATTACATGAGCCCCTAAAAGCAGAGAAGTTTCCCTGGCAAGAGTCAGAAGGGAGAGGTGGAAGAAAGGGGGCCAGGGAGGTTGCAGGGAGAGGAAGCTTCCAGGCTCACTGAATCCTGGGTGGAAGTCACTGGCCAGACAGAAGGAGGCTCCTTAGAGCCAGGGCCCCTCCTGACAACAGGCAAGTCCCCCACCACAAGGACAGGGTCAAGCCAGCAAGTCCACTGGGCTTGGAAGAGGTTCTTCCCCAGAGCCCCTCCAAAGCAGCAGAGCTGACCTTCCCATCGAGTCCCGCCTGGTGAGAGCCTCAGCTCTCTGTATATAAAGAAGAAAAAGACAACTCCCCAAGGACTGAAAGACCACTTTTCAAAATAATTCCCACTGTCTATGTCACAGCAGATGTGTGGGATACTGATTCAATCTGCACAACAGCCTGGGAGGTAGGCGCCATCCCTGCTTCCTTTACAGGTGAGGAAACTGAGGCACGGGTGTCAGATGGTCAGCTGCCTCCAAGGCCCATGCTCTCAACCCGTGCACTCACCTGCACATAGAGCACTAAATGCATTCTGACATCATACAATAAAATTTCTTTTAAATCAAGAATTTAAAATTTCCTTTTAAAATTTTTCTTGATTTAAAATAAGTCGAGACTGCTTTGCTCAGTCCAGCAAGCTTTCTTTCTGCCCAAATTTTGTCCGAAGCAGTCAGTAATCCTGTTTTAGTGCCAGCACAGCGGGGGTGGTGGGAAAAGCAAGGATTTGAAGTTAAAAGACCTGGGCTGACCTCCCACAGACTCCCCTTTGTAAAATCACATTAATGGCCTCAGCTTTCAGGGCCATGGAGACTAAATAAAGTCAGAGACGGCAAAGCACTTCTGACTTGATGCATGTGGACGCGCTGAGCTTTGTGGTCATTTAGAGGAGTGCGGAAGGGGAGCATGCCGGGAAATGCTCTGAAGTGTGGCTTTTTAAGATCACACTCTGAACTAACAGCCTGAAACCTGCTGCTTCGTCCCTCCTCCTCCTCAGGTGTCCAGAGACTCCAACACACTGTGCAGGTCACACTGGATGGCTGACATACCCACATGGCGCTCACCCCCAACCTTTGTACTTTGCATGCTGGTTTTAGGTTCTCTGAGAAGGCAGCACAACCCCAATCTAATCTTCATTCCTCGTGACCCTGGAGCCCACCTGCAGCCACCAGAAAAAGATTTTCACATTTCAAATCAGTCTTCAGAAGCCCCTCCCTCCACAAAGGAACATCAAGCAAATCTCACAAGCCAACAGGAGCCGCTCCAGGCCACTTACATTCAGGCTCCTGCCCCTGGGCCATCGCTTCCTTCCCTCCAGCTGCCCGGGCTGGGCTGTCGCCATGGAAACCACAAACATTCTAAGCCCTCCTTGGCTCCCTCACTGTGGAGCAACAGGGCACAGCCCCTGCTGTGGAACCTCCCTCCAACCCCTCCCCTCTTCGGTGCCCCCAGTCTTCTTGAACAGGGAGCACTGGTGTTTGCTTGCTGGTTTTTCGTTTAACAGTATAACACTTTCTGTGATCTAAACGATGTCAAAGTATCCTTGCACACCCTGACTCCTCTCAAAGCCCAGAAGGTAAAAGATAACTGGTTTTCAGGTATATGAAATTCTGGGTTGAAAGTTCTTTTCTTTAAGGATGTTCAATATTGGCCCCCACTCTCTTCTGTCTTGTAGGGTTTCTGCTGCGAGATCTGCTGTGAGTCTGATAGGCTTCCCTTTGTGTGTAGCCCAACCTTTCTTTCTGGCTGCCCTTAGTATTTTCTCCTTCATTTCAACCCTGGTGAATCTGACGATTATGTGCCTTGAGGTTGGTCTTCTTGAGGAATATCTTTGTGGTGTTCTCTGTATTACCTGGAGTTGAATATTGTCCTGCCTTGCTAGGTTGGGAAAGTTTTCCTGAATAACATCCTGAAGAATATTTTCCAACTTGGATTCATTCTCTTCGTCACATTCAGGTACACCTATCAAACGTGGATTAGGTCTTTTCACATAGTCCCACATTTCTTGGAGACTTTGCTCATTCCTTTTTATCCTTTTTTTCTCTAATCTTGTCTTCTCATTTTATTTCATTAAGTTGGTCTTCGACCTCTGNTGATATCCTTTCTTCTCCTTGATCAATTCAGTTTAAAACTTGTGCATACTTTGCAAAGTTCTCATGCTGTGTTTTTCAGCTCCATTAATTCATTTATATTCCTCTCTAAATTGTCTAATCTCATTAGCATTTTGTGAAACATTTTTTCAAAGTTCTTAGTTTCTTTGCATTGGGTTAGAACAAGTTCTTTTAATTCCCAGAAGTTTCTTATCATCCACATTTTGAAGGCTGCTTCTGTTAATGGAACACACTCGTTCTCCATCAGGCCTTGTTCCATTGCTGATGAGGAACTCTGATCCCCTGTAGAGGGAGAGGCGTTCTGATTTGGGGTATTCTCAGCCTTTTTAGGCGGGTTTCTTCCCTTTGTTATAAATTTATCCATCTGTCATCTTTGTAATTACCGACTTTCTAATTGGGTTTCCGAGTGGACATCCAACTTGTTGATTTGCAGCGCCAGAATCTGAGCAACCCACTGTGCCGGCCAAAACAGCGGTGTTAAGATTGATGGTGCTTTTCTGACTCTGCACCAAGAATGGCCGCGCCAAGGCGCTGGCAAAACCACCACGCTGGCAAAACTGCTTCGCTGGCCACAAGAGTCACGCTGGCGACTCGTGGGGCTCCTCCGCTGGGAATCTCCTGGTCCGTGAGCAACAAAAATTCGTCTGAAAGTGTGGCATCCTCTCGTTCTCTGCGCTTTCACTGAGAGCTACAATCCCGAGCTGTGAGTGATCAGCCATCTTGGATCTCTCTCTGAGTCTTACTATTTTACATAAGACGACCAGCAAGGCCTATATTTGTTTCTTGTGGCTGCCATTATAAATGACCATAGACTTAGCAGCTTGAAAGAAACACCAGTTTATTACCTCGCATTGCTGGAAGTCTGAAGTCTGGCTAAAGCCAGAGGTGGGCAGCAGGCAGTGGGCAGGCTGCTTCCTCCTGGAGTGTCCTGGGGAGGGTCCCCTTTCTTGCCTTTCTCAGCATCTAGAGGCTGCCGGGTTCCTGGCTCCTGGGCCCTTCTGCAAAGCCAGTGAGGCTGGGCAAGGCTTTCCCACACCACAGACACCCTCCTGCCTCTCTGTTCTCTGCTTTTTTTTTTTTTTTTAATTTTTTGAGATATGGGTCTCACTCTGTCCCCCAGGCTGGAGCGTAGTGGCGCCGTCTCCGCTCACTGCAACCTCTGCCTCCCGGGTTCAAGTGATTCTCTGGCCTCAGCCTCCCAAATAGCTTGGATTACAGGCACTCACCACTACCACACTTTGCTATTTTTTGTATTTTTAGTAGACACGGGGTTTCACAATGTTGTCTGGGCTGGTCTTGAACTCCTGAACTCAGGTGATCTGCCCACCTCCACTTCCCAAAGTGCTGGGATTACAGGCGTGAGCCACCGCGCCTGACCTGTTCTCTGTACAAGGAACCCTGTGACGGCACCCTGTGATGGCACTGCACCAGCCCAGAGAGTGCAGGCTTGTCTTCCTATTTTAAGGTCAGCTGATCAGCACCCCTGGTCCCCTCTGCAGCCCGATGTTCTCTCTACCCTGTGACCTCATGTCTTCACCAGTTCTGGGGATTTAGAGTGTGGCCCTCATCACCTTGCAGACGAGCTGACAAAGAGCCAGAGGGAGAATTATTGGCATCAAGCTACAGAGTGTGGTGCAGACCTGACCCCGTTTCGAAAACCTGTGTGTGGCCTGACACTGGAGGTAGAGCCTTGGCTAGGGATGGGAGAGAGGGTTCCAATCATTGTTTGTTTTCTATTGCTTGTGTTTCATTGGTCTGATTTATTTATAATTAGAGAGATTTGAGCATGTGGAGGGAATGGGGCCAGTGGAGTGAAAAATGTTGAAAGTCTGAGAAATAAGGGACGTTTGATTTCATGACCTGGTACATGTCTAAATGGTGTGTGTGGGCTGGGTGCTGTGACTCAAGCCTATAATCCCAGCATTTTGGGAGGCCAAGCCAGGAGGATCATTTGAGCTCAGGAGTTCAAAACCAGTCTGGACAACATGGCAAAACCCCTACCAAAAATACAAAAAAATTAACCAGGCGTGGTGGTGTGGATCTGTGGTTCCCAACTACTTGGGTGGCTGAGGCAGGAAGGTGGCTTGAGCCTGGGAGGTTGCAGTGAGCTGAGATCACAACACTTCACTGCACTCTGGGTGACAGAGTAAGACCCTGTCTCAACGCATATATACATACATATGTAAACTGAAAACTAAATAAATAAAAGGTATGTATGACTTGCCCTGGGGAAATCTAGCTATAGACAAGGAGGAAAGAAATCCACGGTTGCTGGGGGAGGCAAAACTGAAGCAGAAGTGGTGGTTCAGTGGCCCCGATGTTTTCCAGGCATCCCAAGGTTAATGTGGTCTGAGAAGTGCACACCTAACAGCAAGGCCCATGTGGCCATGGGGGATGATGTCAAGATGCTGCACGCAGGGCACGCACCCCTCTCCAGCCTGGCTTTGCAGAAACCAGAGGCCCCAATATTAAGCCCTTTGAATCTCCCCGGTAGTTGAGTTGACCCAGTGCCAACACAGGGCGACCTCCGCTAGCTCGCGGCACAAACTCGGGACCCCAGCATGGTTTTGCTGCAGAATCTAATTTTTCAATTAAACCTGCGTCTGTGGGGAAAGAAGACGTGACTCCTACCAACTGCTTTTCTAAATATTTGGAGTTGCTGATTATTTGCTGTTTCTGATCCTTGTTTCATATTGACCATCTCTTCATTGGTCACAAATGGTCGCTCACATTTCTGAAAAAGAAAGAATGGGAGGCCTATTGGTTCCTGAATACAAGGGCTAGAAAGGAGGGGATGAAGCCTCCCCGGGAGCTGTCTGTTCCTTCCCATTTCTGTAAGCATTTTTCAAGTGAAGCTGCGGGTTTTTCCTCATCCTTGAGAGTGGAGACCTTCCCCTTCCAGCGTAGATGGGTGGCCATGGCTTGTCCTTCCCCAGGTATTTTCCCAGCAGTCCGCAGATGGAAGGATTTTCTGTGTTTTGAACCCAGGTTGGGGGAACACTGCTACCTTAATAAAAATAATGCCAGAAGTTGTCCAAATAAGTAAAAAACATGATTGACTGTTTAAATTCTTAAAGTAAGGAAATGTGAACTGTCAAGGAGGGGACATGGAGTCCTGGTTACTGAGGGTTAGTGCCCTCAGGGCTAGCAGGGGAGACTGGGTGCTGGGAGACTTTGGGTGCTTCCTTTATCTCTCTGTGCCCATTTGCTCTCTTCTCAATGTGGTGCCATCACCCAGAGTAGCCTTCCCTGACTGCCCCACAGTGCTGAAAAGATCACACTCAACACTTGGAAGGTTCCCATCAATTCTTTCCTTCTAGCATTCTCCAGATTTACCTACCCACAAGCCTTTTTTTGTCCCCCAGAGGCACAGACTGATTGGGAGGCATGCCTGGCGACATGCTGACCTTGCTTTATTCTCTCCATCAACTTTTCCCTGAAATACAATGGCACCGACATTTGGCATTTTGGGGAGCGGTCGCGCAGGATGATTTAAAGCCATTGTAATTTTTGCTTTGTCCAGTCTGGACGTCCCTTGTCATTTCTGGATCCCAGAGGTGATTATGACAGAGGCAGAAAACAGGCATTTGTAATGACTTTCCTTTCTTGTTCTTGGTGTTTGTTTTGGAGACAATGTCATTCAGACGGTTCAGGATTTACACTGGGGGAGAAGGAGAGACAGTGACCTTTGAGAAGGGGAGGAAGGGAGGGGAGTCCAGCCCTGAAAGAGGACACTGGCGTGGACAGTGGACAGGGACCCCTGCCCCAGCGGTGGTGCTGCACTGGCCCGCCCTCCACGGGGGGCCTGCTATCAGGACCCAGGCCAGGCGTGGCTCCTCAGGAATGCAGAGGGGACTTCCTTGAACACTTGGAACAAACCTGAGCCTTGCAGGAATGGAAGAACATCCCTGGAGACGAGTGGGATAAAAACTCCCACCACCTAGCAAAAAGAGGGTCACCATATTTGAGATCTGAAAGTGAATTTAACATTTTTTCTCCACCTGTACTGTAGATACGGCATATGCCCACAACACGCCCCATGCACTATTCTTCCAAATAAGAACGGCAGAACGAGAGACCATATGCCTGCCACCTAGGTGACAAAACGAATACTCCAACTTGCTCGTCTGTCTCTCTGTCCCCCTTTCGTGCTGAAATATTTGAGACAGTAGTAAAGTTATGAGTCTTTACCACTAAATAATTCAGCACTGAGCATGTCTACTA